CCAGAAGTGCGCAAAAAATTGCACCTTTTTTGCAATACAGGATCTGCAGTCAAAGACTAATATATAAAACCATAACGCTACAGATCTGCAGCTAGTGACCATGTTACCCATGGGCCTCCATTTTATAGGTATTTCATATTCTTAATTCATTACCCGTCAGAAATAAAACTACAGAATTAAATTAATGATGTAAATTAGGTTTGATAAGGGGGGGGGGGGATTTTTGGCACATAATTGGAACTTTTTAAATCTATTTTCTCATATAGATTAACAACAAATAATATTTTTCAAATTAGTGTAAAGCTTTTTTGATGAATTTTTCAATATGTGCAAAGTTTATTTATATTTGATTAGACAGAAACTTCTTGAAAGCTGCCATATACACAATCAATTCAATAGTCAACCCCCACCCGTCTCCCATCAACACACACACACAAACACACCTTATTTGTCTGTTTTTGCAAATAGGCCTAGATTGCAAAGCTAAAATAGAACATCTTTTGTAAATGATAATTTTCAATTTGTTCTTCCATTATACATGTATCTGAACACCTGCATCACATTCGTCACGTACCCAACTTAAGTACTAGTTTTACCATTGGCATTATCATTTTAGATTTCACTGCACGTGCAGTAGGATACTAGTGTGCATATTTGCATATATGTCGGTAGGAATTATTTCATTTTGTGTTTTAACTGGATTATATTTCATGAAGATGACAGGGCCTAAATAATAATAATCGGTAAGTACAAGTTTTGGTATAGATTTGGGTAAAATAGTCTGAAATGCAAACGGTTAGGTTAAAGTTTAAAGGATCAAAGGTAATCCGATGCTACAATAGACGAATTTCACATTCTGAAGAGTTATTCCCCGTTATCAACGTTACATTCAGTTGCAAGATCCAGCATTTGTTATTCTGGGAGGGACCGGGGGGGGGGGGGGTCCAGACCAGAATTTCCTGAGAAGCAAGAAAAAAAAAGTTATGGTTTGATCTGTTTTCTAGGTGGAGGGACACTTAGGGCATCCAAAGTCATTTTTATTTCCTCCAGTATATATTATAGTCCTGCAAATTCCGGGGGAAGGGGGGGGGGGGGTGTTGAGGGGGCGATCTCCCAATCCACTTCCCTGTCCCTGTAATGACAAATGATCATGTGACTCCTAAATAGTAGGAAACTTTTTCCATTTGACTATACATAATATTGTTTCTTGTGTTATTATGTTATGTAAATTTAATGGTATAGAGGTCATCCCCACTCTCCTAATGAGCTGGAAATGTTCACAATATGACTGCATTAAATTAAATAAAAGTGCATCAATTATAAGATTACTTGACATTTTATTCATGAATTTGTGTCAACATATCTTCCTAGAATTATGAATGAGAATCATTCAGAGATGGACCATATTAAACTATTTGTACAAACATTTTTTTGCATACATGAACAAACAGGGGTCTGGGAAGGGGTGAGGGGAAGGATCGAGTTAATATTTCTTTACGTCTTAATGGTTGGAAACTCCTGAAATGAATGTTGACCTCAAATCTAACTTGTCCTCATTATTTTTCAAATGGTGGTGTCTCCATATGAGTGAAAATTTCCTGAGAGGGATGTTTAACAACAAACAAAATGACATAAAAACACAATATTGATTTGCGTTAAGAAATATGCAGGGGATTTTTTCCATCATAAATCTTCTTCTCAAGAACAGTCAGGGCATTCTTGTCCCCCATTCTGGGAAAAGGGAAGGGACACTAAATCTCATTTGTCTGTCAGTCTGTCCATCTTATTGACAGCTAGTATGTGCATCTGTCACAATAAATTTAACCTTGGTCATAACTTTTGAATGATAAGAGATAGTGCTTTCATATTTCACATGCACATTACCACAAAACTTTCTAAATATATTTTTTTAACCCAAGTGAGACCTTGACCTTAAAGTTTTACCTACCGTATATACTCGCCTATAAGTCGGTATTTTGGGAGTTAAAAAGTAGTCTAAAACTCTATGTCCGACTTATAGGCGAGTCATAAAGAGATAGGTATTCTTATGGTGGCTAAAAGGTAGAATCTTATTTGCATTTCCGACAATTATCAAAGACAATGTCTGGATATATAAGATAACTTATGTATTCTTAGATTATATATATATATATATATATATATATATATATATATATATATATATATATATATATATATATATATATATATATATAAAGTACATGTATTGATATGTTTTAATGATTTTATTTGTTTTTAAGCGAGCGTTGCCTTTTAAAATCATTTAAGATAAGATATAATTGGCTTTTCGAGAATTATTAATTAAAACCAGGTTAAAACATCAATGGATTTACTAATGAAATTGTCACCAGATTTCGGCAAAAAATTGCACCGACTTATAAGTGGGTCAATAGCAAATCCCATCAAAACAACGTCAAAAAATACAACCGACTTATAGGCGGACCGACTTATAAGCGAGTATATACAGTACTTTCCAAAAAATAACATTTTAAATTGATCATTTTGAAAGAGAAAAGAAAGGACATTCAAAGAGGTAGAGCCAAGTTATGCATAAAATGGCCCTGTACTTATATCAATTAATAAACTATCACCCTATTTCCCATTTCATATATCAAAATAAAGTAGACACTTGGTGCTTTCATATTCTGTAATAAAATTTAATTTTGAAAATGCAGATATTAGAAAACAGGTTTGAGAAGTTGCAGTGTTCTTGAAATTTGCAGAAAACACGCGTATTTGACTACCTTCAGCAAAGAATTAAAATATGAGCACAGCCCACGATCCAAGAAATAAAACATGTTTTTTGATCTTCAGAAACAGAGCTTTCATTATGTATTTGCATATTTTGGATCGGAATTTGTGCTGTATATGAAATATTGAAAAAATGCTTCAACTTTAGGTCATTTTCAAGGGAATTTACATGATATGAGAAAAATGACGCATTTTATGACGTCATAATGCATTGACTAGATGAGAAACTACGTCACAATAAATAGATACGTGGTCACCAACATTCCAAGTGATAAATACTGCATTTGTAACCTAAACTTATCGGTTTTGATTTTTCAGAAATTCTCAGGGCCAAATTAGGCACAAAATGGCTCAACCTCTTATACATGTTTATTACATGTGAAAAGACTTTTCTAAATATATCATGACTTTTGACTCCGTGACCTTGACCTAGAAGTTTAACCTACTTTTCAAAAATATTATATTGTATATATAACTTTTGATTCAAATGAGATAGGACTTTCATATTTGACATGTACATTACCCGCAACAAAATGTTTCAGAGCATGCTATGATTTTTCCCCTTTGACCCAGTTTTCAAAAATTGATATATGATAGGCTGCATATTTGACACACAATCTGCCATAAATTATGGTATCTCATTCACTAAAACACAGAAAGCAGAGGACCACAATTCTTTAAATTTGCTTGTATAATCTTGATAGATGGAAACATACTCATATAATGTAGATTCAAGTTTTTTATGCCACACCATGGTTAGGAATACATGTATAGTTTTTGTCATGTCCGTCCTCCACCCTTCCATCTGTCTTTCAATTGGGCTCAAAGAAACTTTCTAGATATTTTTATCAAAGTTCATATGTTGATGCATACTGATGTAAATATCCAACTGCAGCAATATTTTTTGACTTTGACTTTTCCTTTGACCTTAATTCACTTAACTTTTCTTTAAATTAGTGTTTAGCTTTATTTTAAAGAAACCATTCAAGTTGTTTAATGAAACTTCACATGATGATACATACTGCTGTAAGCTTTACGATGCTTCACTCTTTTTTACCTTGACCTTTCCTGTGACCTTGACCTCACTTTTCTAAAATTAATGTCTAGACCAGTTTTGAATAAACAATTCAAGATATATTTATCAAACTTCATATGCTGATACATACTGCTAAGAGCTATCAATACGTCAACTTATTTTGGCCTTGAATTATCCTTTGACCTTGACCTCACTTTTTAAAATATCATTTTCCAACACCATTACTCCCCCCGGGGCAAAATCAACATTCCAAAACCTTACTGTTTATCTACATGACACCACCAACCATCTCCCAAAAGATGATTAGGCTACTGTGTAAAATGTAAGAGGATTTTAGGGAAGATGGGGCTTTTTGCATAAAAAACGTCATTTTTCGACCCCCATTTGACCCCTTGGAGCAAAATCAAAATTCCGAAACCTTACTGCACATCTACATGACACCACCAACCATCTCCCAAAAGATGATTAGGCTACTGTGTAAAATGTAAGAGGAGTTCAGGGAAGACGGGGCTTTTTGCATTAAAAAAAACGTCATTTTTCGACCCCCATTTGATCCCCCGGGGCAAAATCAAAATTCTGAAACCTTACTGCACATCTACATGACACCACCAACCCTCTCCCAAAAGATGATTAGGCTACTGTGTAAAATGTAAGAGGAGTTCAGGGAAGACGGGGCTTTTTGCATAAAAAACGTCATTTTTCGACCCCCATTGACCCCCCGGGGCAAAATCAAAATTCTGAAACCTTACTGCACATCTACATGACACCACCAACCATCTCCCAAAAGATGATTAGGCTACTGTGTAAAATGTAAGAGGAGTTCAGGGAAGACGGGGCTTTTTGCATAAAAACGTCATTTTTCGACCCCCATTTGACCCCCCGGGGCAAAATCAAAATTCCGAAACCTTACTGCACATAGATCTACAAGACACCACCAACCATCTCCCAAAAGATGATTAGGCTACTGTGTAAAATGTAAGAGGAGTTCAGGGAAGACGGGGCTTTTTGCATAAAAAACATCATTTTTCGACCCCCAATTGGCCCCCCGGGGCAAAATCAAAATTCCAAAACCTTACTGCACATCTACATGACACCACCAACCATCTCCCAAAGATGATTAGGCTACTGTGTAAAATGTAAGAGGAGTTCAGGGAAGACGGGGCTTTTTGCATAAAAAACGTCCACTGGTAGTTATACAGGGGATTAAACCTGCGCAATTCTGAACTGTAAGAGTTTTAGTGCCTTGTAGCATGTAATACACAGCAAAAAATGTGTTTTAAAAACACTTTTGAAGCAAAAAAAAAGCAAACACCACTCATGTTAAATACATATCAATTTAAAGAGGCTGGGGGTGGCAGCCATTTTCAGACTATTTCAATCTCCTTTAAAAGGAGAGCTCCATATACAAAAGTGATCAAATTTTAAAACTAAAATGTATGATTTTTTTCTTTGTCAAATGATAGTTGACAGCAAAAGATACCGTATCTAAAAAAATAAGGTAAATCTGGTGGTTAATTTGGGATTAATTTGTTGACCCACCAGCCTCCTTAATATTTTACAAATTTCAATAATGATAATTATAAAGTTAAGAAAAAATTATGAAGGTCTTGTTCTTTCAATCCATACTCATTTTCAAATCTAAGTATTAAAAAAAATTATTAAAAAACTTGTCCACATAAAAAGGTAAAGAAATTAGAAACATACGATGTGTCTTTATAGCAACTTAGTCAGTTATTCCGTAAGTTTCAGCGTAATATTCTTGGACTTCATTCAATGATTCCCTCATTTTTTCGATGTGGTTTGTTATATCTTTTCCGAGCTCAGACTTTGAACCATTAGCAATATCTTTACTGGAGGAGACAATTTCCCAAATATCAAAACCTACACCAACAAGAGCAAGAGCAGCCGTTTTACCAATAAGTTTTCCGGCAGTCATCCCGATTCCTCGACTTCCTTTCCCGACCAAACGTGCCGTTTTCGACATGACCTGCGCAACTTTCTTTCCTCTTTTAATGGTTTTCAGCATCGTTTTTATTTCCTTTTTTGTAGATTTGGCAACCTCCTTTAAGGTTTCCAAAGCTTCTGTAAAACGCTTTTCGGCTTCATCTAGGTCGGTTGTTCTTTTTTGGTCACCTAGTATGATGTTTTCAGCTTCCTTGCATTTTCTCAAAGCATAATTCTTATTAATTTGGTCAGAAGTGAGGTTTGTTATTCCACCAGCTAAGCCTACCCCAGCTGCTATTCCAGCACCAACGGCGGCAGACGCACCTGCTGTGAAGGGTGCAAGAAGCAAAGCTCCAATCATTATGCTTCCGCTTAACACACCAACGCTACTACCTACAATTTGAGTGACATTGTTTTGAAATTCGCCACTGTCCATGTCGGCAACAATTTGCTCTAAATCTCTGATGGCCCTTCTTCTAGTCCTTACCCAGTCTTCATACTGGGTGACAAATTCCTCAAGATACCTTTCATACTTGTGTATGGCATCAATTTCCCGATCTGACATAATTCGTCTGGAAATTGAAAAATGTTATCTTGAAGTAATCAAATTCAACAAAGTATATTTAGTTTTATTTTGAGATGCCTTATGAAATGCATCGAAGGCAACAACTCTTTTTTTTCAATTTCAATTACAATTTTTTTTATATTTAGCTAAGGTTTGTTAAACCGTATTCAATATTTCTTAGGTTGTCTTGAGCTGTCCCGGGCGCTGTTCCTGCTCTGCTAGAAGACAAATTAATCAGATCTCAAGTTCAAACCCCGCGGTTTTTGGTAGAAGTTAGTATACTTGTAACAATGATTTATGGTGTCATCTATAGTATTTTTTCTTATCTTCTTGCACTTATATTAGCTTAAGAATTAATGTACGATATGTTTAAATATACGTATATAATAAATTTCAAATAAGTCGAGGAGGATATAAATTTTCAATTTGAAGAAGTGAATGCATTTTATTTCCGCCCCAATGGATCAAATGTTCTTTCAATTAAGGATCCGGGTAACTATATTTGCCGTACTACGCCTTGTTCTTTTCTTGGAAGTTCATTTTCCTGGTATCGAATTTTGCTACGTGATGCAATCGCTTGTATCTTAAAATAAATGTCTAGACATTTACGAGTTATTTGAATAGATTCCTATCATCAAATACCACAAAGCCTTATGTTCATTTTTAAGTCAACCGAGTCACTCAGGTGACCTATTGCTATCTTTCTCGTCCGTCGTCGTCCGTCGTCAATCGGTCGTAAACTTTTGATAATTTTCAGCTTCTTCTCTGTAACTGCTCAACCAATTTCGACCAATTTTGGCACAATGCATCTTTGAGTAAAGCAGAACAAAATATTGAGAATATCATGGTCCCTGCCCCCCGGGGCCTGAGGGATGGGCCAAAATCAATGCTTCCTTTAAACATCTTATTCTTTTTTTCTGGAAGCAGTCAAACTGTTGGCATGATTGTAATAAGCATTTCGTCTTCTACCAAAATTGTGAAGTTCATGGCCCCCAGGATCAGGGAATCTAGTGCCTGGGTGGTGCTATATAGATTATATTATATATTATAGTGAAAATACATGAATTCTTTGAAAATCTTCTCCTCTGTTTCTGGGCATTAATTAAACTAACAAAGTATATAGTTATGTTGAATAATGCTGCCTCTTTCAAAACTTTGAATTTCTTGGCCCCTGGGTTAAGGTTTCTGTTGTTAGGGCGGGGCTCTATTGATTATATAGTGAGAATGCATAATTAAAAAAAAAACATTTCTTCTCTGCTCTAGTGTATTAAACAAAATCACCAAGTACGAAATTATGATGAGCAGGAATTGTGAATTTAATGGCCCCTGGGTTGGGGGTTCTTGTGTTAGGGCGGGGTTCTATTGTTAATGTAGTTAAAATACACTTTCTGTAAAAATCTTCTCTATTCCTGTGTATGAAATAAACGTACCAAAATACATGATTATGTTGAATAACACTGGCTCTTCCAAAATTGTAAATGTTTTGGCTCCTCGGTCAGGAGTTCCGTTGTTTGGGGGAGGGGCTCTATTGATTATATAGTGAAAATGCATAAATTCTTTAAAGAATTTCTCCTCGTTCCTGGGAAACCAATGTATTTTATATATAATTATGATGAGGAAGGATGGTTCTTCCCAATTTTGGAAAATTTAGGACCCCTGGGACATTGGTTCTGGTATTACGGGGGATAAATTGATTATATAGTGAAAATGCACGAATTCTTTGAAAGTATTTTCCTTTGCTCCTGGGCAATGTTTATCGAAAAAATTACAAAATTTTGAAATATGTAGTCCCGGAGTCAGTGGTTCCTGTAGAACAGGGTGCACAACTGCTGGTTATGAAGTAGAAATGCAGTTTGTCTTTGTTACTCTGATCTACCTCTGTGTATTAAATAACCAAAGTAAGCATACCTAGTGTATAATTATGATTTACGATGGAGCCTCTGTCAAAATTTTGAAATTATGGCTTTTGGTTTTGCAAAGTTATTACATAATACTCAGTTGACCTATAAGGCCCTGGGACCTCTTGTTAAAGTTCCAACCATGAAGTATTTTTAACTCACTGTTACGAAATTTAAGAAAACATCTTCAATATTCTTATTTCATTTGAAAAGGTAATGAATGTAAAAATTGCAAATTGAGAAGAATATCATATCGTCTTAATTACCTACATATAGACACTATTCTTTTACATATAAAGGGACAAATTAAATTTAAAAGAAAGAATTACCATAATTTGAAAAATTTAAAGGAGATTACCTCTCTGTCAACCTCATAAGACACTTACCTATCTGAATGATGACTTCTTAAATCTACACTCACAGCTTGTTTTCAAGTGCATGCATAAATGAGAAAGGTATAGCAAAACAAAATGTTTTATTACCCGGAATAAATTATATCCTGTCAGGTTTCGTTTCAAATTTCTAAGAATTGCCTCTTTTATTTGAGTGCACAGTCATATTTTTTTTAATTTACTTTAAACATCTCGAAAGCTTTTTGATAAGAGTTGTGGCAAATGACTTTAGTTGCCTTATGTCACACTGAGTTACCTAAAAAATTCTAAAAAAAATTAAGATATTTGCCTTTGAAACCTGTTGCAAGGAAACAAAATATTAAAGAGAATGTTGGTCCAAGAGATGTGTCTAATACTGTGTGTAACATTATACTAGACTGTCCAGAGCCCACAGTGTATGTCAAAGTGGAGTGGGGGATAGAAGTGAAGAGGTGTCATTTCATCACACACAGGATATAAATAAACAGTTCTCACAATACAAACAAGCTACAGAGTGATTTCTTAAAATAATTACATTGAATAACAATCATTGTTATCTTGAAAGCATGACTATTAAATCTATATGTGCATCATACTGAAAGCCTTTGTAGAAGAGACATGTAAATATAAATCTGCTATTTTTGAAATGTCTTATCATAAGCAGTGAGAAAAAAAAGATAGTTAAAGCTTATGGTGTTTATTTAATTTTAGTGGATGATCACTTGTATGCTAGACGTGTGCAGATGTATGGTGTGTCACTTACAACTCATCCAACCTTGACAAGAAGGGGATGTCTGGCATTGAGGATAACAACTTCCTTGATAGAGGGTACACAAAGAAAAGACTATTGACAGATGACATATTCAAAGATGACAAGTCCTATAAATTTTAAACAGGTTGATGAATAGTTTTTTTTATCTATTGATAAGAAGTTACTTCTGAATTAATTTTGAATGTAATTTATTCCACAGTTAACTTGAAACTGCCTGGTGAATGTGTATGAATACTGTATTCAAATAAATTAAAACAATCATGCAGTTCTGCCCTAAGTGCATTCAGACTCAGTATACACTTTAATCAGTTAATTTATGTACAATTATGCTAAATCACCAGGAGTATCACCGGCTGTGTTTACAATCATCTTCAACGGTATACTGCTAAAGTATTGAGAAAGATGAACATCAGTATTCCAAGGTAATTTAATGTTTGCGTATTTGTCATTAAGTCTGGTCAGTTTAGTTTTCACTTCGCGTTCTTTAGCATTATTTCCTTTAATATTATTCATAAATTTTACAGTTTTAACCAGCTTGTAATCAGTACTGTCTACATTGAAATGTTATTGATTTATTTATTGATTTCTAATTAACTGAATCTCCCCTATTTACGGACTCCTGAAACCTAAAACTTATTGTCACTGAAGGTAGAGCCCAGTCTTTCCCTGTTATGATTACGTAGATGATTCGACACTAAGTCCCTGGGTGATCTGTTTGCCATTTCTGAATGTTCTGTCTGTCGAATATTCACTACCTGGTTGTGTCTGATGAATATTGACCTTGGGTTTAAATTAAATATATAGGCTTTCAAAGAACACATTATGCATATCAAACATTTAAAATTTACACAAAAATTAAACATCCATAAGGTGTATAACAGACTGCTCATATTTTTTGTACAAAAACCTAGTCTTTCTTCTGCTCAGAGAATTACATACTTAAATTACAGACATCATAATACCTCTACGTGTCTTGTAGCCATCACTCCCACAGGTTCCTTCTGTTTTGTCTCTGATTTCTATACTGGTAGCATGTCTGACCAGAAAATATTTCAAAGTACTGGTCTTTTGGGTAATATTGAACTTGTCGATGAAATTATTGTAGATCGTGGGTTTCTTATTAGAGTTGACTTATCAATGAAGGGTGCCACGTCAAACATTACTCCATTTTCTATTAGAAAGCAATTGTGCAGCAATGCAACCACTAAAAATAGGAGGATTGCACGAGCTAGCATCCATGTAAGAAGAGCGATTAGACGTTCAAAAACAACAATTTTGCAGGGTGTTATTGCACTCCATATTACAAGCAAATTGTAAGAGTGTGTACAATGTTATGCAACATTGACACTCAACTTTTAAAATCAGGACATCTGTAAATCTGCAGCCCTTTTCACAAAAAGAATTAAAAAAAAATAATTCCAGAATCTATGTACTAGCTTTTCACAAATCTAAGCACTGATAAGATTTTTTTTTACCTCATAGCAACTATATCTCAAGTCGCTTTATAATCATGTTTAAAGCATATATGATGTTAATAAAAATAATTGATTTTTTTCAAGACAATTAATTACAACAAAACTCATTGTGTGAACACACATATTGAATACAATCAAAGTGAAATATGAATGATTGAAATATCCTAATATCTTACAATTATCAAAATAACTTTTTGTGTGTAAAGGGCTATTGGTAGCTGAGCATTATACATTGATATATAGCATGTGTATAATATATTCATTTATATCTGAATTCCTCATAATAAAAAGCAAAATGATAATCTTCTTGTCGATATTTCCGTGTTTATTGATTTCAATGTATAAAATTTTCAAAATATAAAATATAAACTTAGCCATGAATGTTCTGAAAAAAAGTATTTCTATCAAAAGTATCAACTTTCACCAACTTGCATGTATACATCGTGTACATACCAGCAGTTAATGTTGCATAAACACTTTATAATTTGCCGTTTAAAAAGGTGTTAAGTTTGATGAGCATTTTATCAAAAAAGTAAGTATCAAACTCAGTCTGAGCAACACAGATTCCTTTTTTTGTGTAAACAATGAGATTGGAGTGATAGATGCTATATACATACAATGTACCCATTTTTCCTTGAATTTGATGATGGTATTCAGAGTTTTCAGTTATAATGATTTCACCTTTCTTATCCACAACCTTATCTTAGACACACTGTTTTGGATCTTCATCCCTTAAATTAAATGGGTACTTTACCTCAAGAATAGTACTTTCATGACATTTGCATGTGAAAAGACCATCAATAAAACAACCAATAAAATTCATAGTAGGATGTATTCTTAAACCTCTGTGTGACAAAAGTTGATAATTTATCGTTATAAGTGTACCTTGATTTCATGATCTTAGTTGTTTCATGGGAACTGGGCAATCATGTTGACATGGTCGTTAAGCCCATGAATTGCCCCAATCAGAGACTGACTTGATTTCGAAGGCTTCTATTTCATATAATGTTGCTCCAATGTGACGGTATCTACCATCAGCTCTGTAGAGAAAAAGTGTATGAGATGAAGCTTACACACATTCTGTTGGACAATATTTTTTCTCAGCTATAATAGTGTATATTGTATACACAAATGTTAACACATATGTATACACATTTGACTACTTGTCCATTCGTAAGTGTCAATTATCTCGATATACTGCCACAGGCGTATGTGGTCAGTAAAGCACGGCTTATTGGTTGACGCTATCCCTGTTGTAAAAAATGCAAAGGCAGACAAGGTACATGCATTTAAGTGATTAAACAAGAATTAAATAAACAATAATTTTAGCATGAACTATTAGATTAATTTTTTCTGTTTAATGAAAAAAACATTTAGTCACAGCTTCGCCACGAAAATGGTCATTGCTAATGTAATAACAATTTTATTTTGATGATCTCTCCTTTAAACAATGGCAAGTTTGCTGAAAAATAATTATGCGGTGTAAATTGAGAACGTTTAATTAACAATGATGCCAGAAACAATGAATTTATCCAAGAATTCACTTTACGTACAATCGGCAATAATATCACGACGATCGACCAAGCATGTTTTTTTAATATCCGACGTGCAGATTTTTTTATGCATACACAAGTACTTATCTTTATTTCATAACTGCAGTCCATTAAAAAATTCTTGAAGTATTTTCAATCAGAAATATGTTTTTAAATGCGTGTTCATGTAATGATAAATATAGAAACGCTAAATGGTATTTCTAAGAAGGGTAACTCTACTTCTTGTTTTCTAAAAGATGGGAAGTTCAATTCATCGCCAAAATCGTTATACCTCCATAATTTCTAAATTACAAAAGGTGGCGGTTTATCGAGAATTAACTATAGGAGTTTTAATGTAGCTTTGTTAGTTCATTCGACAGCCCCTGGATCCGGAAGGAATCTTCTTCTGTGAATTCATTCAGAATATCATGCACAGACAGAGGCTGATCATGATCATCTGGTAAACCAAGGTTCACCACTTCATCACAAAGCCTCAATAAATCCATAGGTTTTAATTTTGAAACAGAAATCCCCATTCTTTTCAAGAGAATTTGTACCTCATTAACTTCATACGTTGAAAACGTTGTAGTCGCCATTTTATCTATAGATTCTGTGTCGGGTATCATGTGACTTTGTAAAAAACGAAAGGTTAAAACCAGACCAGATAGAAGAATCAGTGCAGATGAAAGAGGGAGAAAACTTTCATCTATATTACTCTGAAAAACAATGCTAACTTTTACTGCAGCAATTAATTACCCATATCCTTATTTTCAAGCTAGTACTAAAGTACTTAGCTACTGAGCTGTAGTATTCCGTTAACATCTACACATTGTTTTAAAAACTCAAGTTTCTTCGATACTTAAGAACATGATCCAAGAATGATCATGATCCAAGCAAACACTCTCAGACTAATGTTATTTCAAAGCATTTTATAATAGAAAAGGATTTACTTATTTTTTTGAAAATCATATAATTTGATTAGCAGTTATTTTAAATCAGTACAGATTGCTTTGAGGTCTTTCGAAAAGGGGAATTTTTGAATATAATTGGAAAAAAGACAAAGCATATCAATAACTGCTGTAATGGAAAAATGCATTTAATCACTCGGAATTGAAATTTAAATAAAAACTATTTTTCAAGCAGGTGGTCGCCCGCCTGGCGCAGTAGTAAGAGCGTCTGCTCTAGAGTCGCAAAGTAAAGAGCCAATACTTACGTCGCAGGTTCGAATCCTACTGCGGGACATGGAGGCCCGTCCTTCGGATGAGACCGTATAAACCGAGGCCCCGTGTCACTGTAAGTGCTGGCACGACAGAGATCCCTCCCTGCTCAATGGCCCTAAGTGCCGAGTATAGGTCAAAAT